CAGAAGGAATGTTAGGGCAATCAGATGGAAGTCTTTAAGCATACTAGCACAAGATGTTTTAGGCACTGGCATAACGGTAGTATTCCATGTGACGCAGATTAAAACAAAGCCATCATCTAAAAATTCTTCAAAAATTCTGGCACATACATGCCCCATTTGTTTATATTGAGCACACTCAATACTTTTAAGACAATCTGGACTGGCTGCCTTATTTGGTTTTATTCTCCGGAGCATGCTGATAACCTCTCTTTCCTCTATTCTCATAGGTTCAGATTGTAGGTCATTGTCTCATTATTCAAACCAACTATACTATTATCAAATCGTGAATAAAAAGCATTTAGGTTATTTGCAAAACTATGGGGGTCATCATCACACAGTTGAACCTGTTTCTTTTTTTTTTACCCATCACTGCGTTTAATCCCCTCCATGCATCTCTTATATTACCACTTTTAAATTTCTTCTCAACTTTCTTTTTATGCTGTATTTGTGCCTTAAATCTTACAATTATCTTCTATAATATTATTCAAACCAACTATACTATTATCAAATCGTGAATAAAAAGCATTTAGGTTATTTGCAAAACTATGGGGGTCATCATCACACAGTTGAACCTGTTTCTTTTTTTTTTACCCATCACTGCGTTTAATCCCCTCCATGCATCTCTTATATTACCACTTTTAAATTTCTTCTCAACTTTCTTTTTATGCTGTATTTGTGCCTTAAATCTTACAATTATCTTCTTTATTTAGCTCTTTTATTTTATCTGCCTCATTACGTAAAAAAAAAAGATTGCTTTAGATTCTTGGTAATCTAGGATTTGTTGTCTGTAAAAAGCTAACCTTTTTAGTTTGAACAACCATCTCCACACAGAAATGAATATAATAAGTAATTGTATCACTTAATAATTCATAATTACTGCAACAATTAAAATCATTAAAAAATAAATCCCAATCAGTGCTCTGGAAAGTGCTCTGGTCTCTTAGGTTCTCAATTGAGTCTTTTGTCCATAACTTGAACCTGCTGAACGACAGGTTTAGTCATTTTTAGCATCACCTACTGTACTTTAACATAATGTCTTTCCCCATGTCTTTCCCCTTCAAGGGAACTCCTGCTGTGTCCTCTAGCGCAGTGGTTCTCAAACCTCTCCATGAAGTACCCCCAGCACTGCACGTTTTGTATGTCTCCCTATATCTGACACACTCACTTCAGGTCATGCATTCTCCACTAATGAGCTGATGAGTTGAATCAGGTGTGATAGATGAGGGAGACATACAAAATGTGCAGGGCTGGGGGTATTCCAGGACAGGTTTGAGAACCACTGCTCTAGCGGACACTTTGGGGAATGCTGCCAGCATGACCGGTGGCTGAAGCACGTGTGAAAAAAACTCCAATCCTATTGGTCCACATAGCCTGTGATGTCTTAAGTGGTTGATAAAAGGGTGCTTGTATAAAATTGGGTGCTTGAGGGCTCAGAATGCACGCACTGTGAGAAATTCACTATGAGGAAACTCTGATCACGTTTGTCTCTTTTTTCGAGGAAAGAGGGGTAAGCATCTACACCTGTCGGGTCCCACTGCTGCTGAGGCACAGTGGAAACTCAGCTCGTGGTGATCACAGGTCGAGTTCGTTGTGAAGCATTGCACACCATGGCAGTGTTACAAGTTACAGGCTGACATGCTGAGTGATTTGGATAAGGATGGAGGTTTGTCTCCTGAGGCGGCTGAGCTGCCCCACACTACAGATGTAGCTCTCCGTATCACCAAGCAAACTACTGCTGCCATTGGGCGTTCAATGGCAGTGATGGTGGCTATGGAGAGGCATCTGTGGATCAACCTAGCGGCCATCGGGAAGGAGAAGGACTTTCTTCTTAATGTTCCACTTTCACCTACCGATCTTTTTGGCACCTCCGTCGAGGCGGTTGTGGCACAATCAGCTGCTTTCAGGAAGTTAATTTCTCTGTCTGTCTATAGCTGAGGCTCATAGACAAGATCAGAAGTCTAGTGTTACTAACCGTGCCCCTCCTCCCTCTAGTTGGCAATGGAAGGCTAATGCTAACAAAGGGAAAAAAGGATCTCAGGAACATGCTATATAAGAGACACGGTGATCGCCAGCGTCCTGAGACTGGCGCTACTTGATCATTCTTTTCCCAACTTCTCCTTTCTCCTCCCTCTAGTGTTGAGACACCCTCTGGTGATTGCAGTAATTTCCTTTTCCTACCCTGCAAACATGTCCTTGCGGGGCCCATGCTGGCTTTTTGCGGGCACAGTGGGCTAGGGCCAGCCCACACCAAACCTAAAAAGGTCCGGTGAAACAGATGTAATGTTATAGATCAGGGGTGCATCCTGGTCCTGGAGATCTACCTTCCTACAGAGTTCAGTTCCAACCCTGATTAAACAAACCTGTCTGTAACTATCAAGTGCTCCTTCAGATCCTAATTAGTTGGTTCAGGTGTGTTTGATCAGGACCAGGTTGGGCACCCCTGTTGTAGATTAATAGTGTGGGCTAAGTGAGGGCTGCCCTGCGCTGGCAGCCCGCTGGGGGCCCTTAGGCTAGCCCTAAGTGGGCCCGTAAAGGACCTGTAGATTAATAGTGTGGGCTAAGTGAGGGCTGGCCAGCACTAAGGGGCCAACGTTTTGTCAATGAGCCTAATCTCAGAGGCCCTGCGCTGGCAGCCCACTGGGGGCCCTTAGGCTAGCCCTAAGTGGGCCCGTAAAGGACCGGTGCAGGCTTTTTTGCAGGGTAGAGCCTAGCTATCTGAGGATAGCTATGTGCTAGCTCAGTGATTGCTGCCCTTCTTAGGGTTTTTAACTAGCGGTCTCCTTGAGCCCTTGGTTAGACAGTGCTATCTCCCCTGCTTGGCTTGTAAGCATATAGCCCACTCTCTGTGGTCTGGGCAGTTTTGTGGGAAGGTTTTACTTGATGGCTACCTGAGGCTAGCTGTGTTTAATTTGCATTTTTGGTCTATGAGCCTTTCATAAGACCCTTAGAATATAGATATCCGAGGATAGCTGTATTCTAGCTCAGCAGCTACTCTCCTTACTTGGGTTTCTCTCCAGACTCGGAGAACCTCCGCCTTTGTTCATAACCACTCCTCTAACCCAGCTGGCCCGCTTTGGCCCAAGGTTTTCGTCGGGCCAAAAAACCCGGGCCGTTGGCCCCGAGGAAGCACCGACGAGGCATGATCGAGCCCTGGAAGTGACAGTGGAAACGCGACTGGCCCTGGCATGCACTAGCACCCCCGCTTTTGGCCCAACAGTGGAAACGCGGCTTTTGAGTTCCTATCTAGAGGTTTTCTAGTTAGCCTCTTCAGTGATCTTGAGTATCCAGGCTAGTGTTGCTCACATAGCATAGCTATCTGTGGATAGCTGTGTTCTTAACTTGGTTTGGGTGTTCCCCTTTATTTGAAATTGGGTTCCCCATTTCTGCCAGGTTATGCGAGCAGCCCAGGGTGTCAGTGGCTTGGCCCCCTTCTGAGAAAAAGTTAGGTGTATGTCTGTCACGTCCTTGGTGCTCTCTCACCTGGTGGACAGGCATGTGTCTCGGCATGGCATAGTTGGCATTTTGTTCCCCACGATTTCCCTAGAAGGGGAACGTCTTGAGTTACGCATGTAACCCTTGTCATGCCTTCAGCCTGCCTGTTTCATGTCTCCTTTAAACAACTAAGTTGGTGACATGTTCACCTGCCTAAGACGTCACAGGCTATGTTGACCAATAGGATTGGAGTTTTTCACACGTCCTTCAGACAACGGTCATACTGGCAGCATTCCCCAAAGTGTCCGCTAGAGGATGCAGTGTCGTTTCCTCTCGGGGAACCATGGTTACATGCATAACTAGGGATGCACCGATACTGGTCTCCTGTACTCGTACTCGTACTTGTTAAAATGCCCCGATACCAAACGCCGATACCACACAGCATGTGATCAGCGCCGTATTCAAACAAAGAAACACCGACAACAGAACAACAGACAGCAGAAAGGAGTTAAGGATGTCTACTATGAACTATATGTATGCAATGAATATAATGTTAAACATTCAGTATTAACGCCTGCATAGCTGATGTGCGCGAGCTGATAAACAAAGCACGCTGAGTGGCTTGAGCGCGCAGCGGCGCAGATGCGCGAGCTTGTCGAGTGAATATACCTTTCTCACAGACATCACTGGAAAGTTTGTAGTTCGGTCGGATATGTCAAAAACAAGTAAGTAAAACAATGCACAAGTTACTTAACGGTAGGGAGAGAGAGAGAGAGAGCGAGAGAAAGAGAGAGAGAGAGAGAGAGAGAGAGAGAGAGAGAGAGAGAGAGAGAGAGAGAGAGAGAGAGAGAGAGAGAGAGAGAGAGAGAGAGAGAGAGAGAGAGAGAGAGAGAGAGAGAGAGAGAGAGAGAGAGAGAGAGAGAGAGAGAGAGAGAGAGAGAGAGAGCGAGCGCACTTCTGTTGTGTGATCTTTGATGTTCACTCACTCAGTACACGCATCATTTGGATTAAAACTAAATCGTAAAAATAATCGGGCGTGTACTGGAAAAAGTGGTATCGGTGCATCCCTATGCATAACCTTAGATGATTTATCTAGATAGACAGATGTTTTTCTTTGCTTTGAGTTTTTTTTAGATAAAATATTTAAACTCAAATCAATATATTGTAAGTTTATTTAATTTTTTTATGTGTCTAGAAGTCATGTAATAAGTGACACAATATACAACCAGCTGGTTGTTATCGCAGAATAAACTCCTTCAAAACCCCTCAGCTTCGTATCGAGGTCCTGAGCACATTTTTTTTTTCTGTGATAACAACTGGCTAAATGTGCATTGTTCCTAATGTAATGTAATATATTAAGACTGGCAAAGGGTTTTTGTTTCAAACATAAACCACACTGTATTTATGCATGTGTGTGTGTGTGTGTGTGTGTTTGTGTTAGTGGGGCAAGAAAAAAAATCTTAATTCAAGATTCTATTAAAAAAAGTGTTACTATCTTATGCCATTTCTGTTGTGCATTTTTAACTCACCATGGGGCCAGGTGGTCCATGTGGACCAGGTGCTCCAGGGGGCCCAATAATCTGTAAATGTGAGCAAAATGAAAACTGAAAATGAAATATATAGGTGTATGAGTGTATACACACACACATATATATATATATATACACACACACACACACACACACACACAGTTGTGCTCATAAGTTTACATACCCCTTGCAGAATGTGCGAAATGTTAATAATTTAAATATATTTATAATAATTTATAATAATTTAAACAAAATAAGAGGGATCATGAGAATTGCATGTTATTTTTTATTTAGTACTGTCCTGAATAAGCTATTTCACATAACAGATGTTTACATCAGTCTGCTGTTCTTCAGAAAAATCATACGGCTCTTGCACATTCTTTGGTTTTTCAGCATCTTCTGCATATTTGAACCCTTTCCAAAAGTGACTGTATGATTTTGTGATCCATATTTTCACACTGAGGACAACTAAGGGACTCATACATAACTATTACAAAAGGTGAAAAAAATGACTGATGCTCAAGAAGGCAACACAATGCATTAAAAGCCGGGGAATGTAAACTTTTGAACAGTATGATGATGTGTAAATTCTTCTCATTTTGTTTGTTGATTTATATATATATATATATATATATATATATATATGCAAATTGTACAATATCCAAGGTACACATTTCTAGTAATTGTGCAGTTAATTTTTTTAAGTTTTTAAATCCAATTAAATTTTTAACAATATTTCAAGTGTAATTTATGAGATTTGTTTGTTTTTTTAATGCCATTAAACAATGGAAAAAAATACAAAAAGTTGAAATTTAGGGGTTAGACTTCAGGACAGCCACCTCCCATTTGAAAGTACCCAATAAATGATGATTTTATATATATTAAGCTTACTAATATTTTAAATATTATTGTGGGTTTCAATCGAAAATAGAAGAATCTTAATAAACATCTAAGATTTGAATACTTAAATGCTTTTTAAATGTGTTTTTTGGTTGTGGGACAGCAGTTTGCACCAATTCTGTAAAATGGCCCATCCTCCTGACTACCAGGAAAAAAAAAGTTTTGTGAATTTGGTATTTTTCATGTCATTACATTGTTTAGAACATAAGAACAAAAAAACAAACAAAAAAAGTTTAATTATATTTTATTCATGTGTTATGCTATGTCCTATGTAGAGTACATCAGGACTTTAAAAAGTCCTGTTTTAAAGGCAAAAAAGTGGGATTTTTGTTTTAATCACAAATCAATTTTTAATTTTTATACTAAACTTTAAATAAAGATGATTCTCAACTATGTTATGAAATATATTTGTAAAGACCATTTTTCTTTATGCAAAATGTGTGTAAAATGGCCATAAACGGGTTTTCCCATTATATACAATGTATCTATAAACTGTATCTAGTTTGCATATTAATGTGTTTTTGGGGCAACATAGAATGAAAAAACAAGTGCAATAATGGGAGTAATAATTGGCAAGATTTCCATAATAATATCTAATTTTTCATAGGAATATTGATATATAATTTTTTCCCCTATTTATTTGTTGTGTATCCCAAAATGTGTAATAAACATGTTTTAAGTCCTGGTGTCCTCTATAGTGGCTATGAATGAAATCGATGTCCTATTTCATAACAGAAAGTCATATTTTGATTTGAATCCCCATAACATTTTCCTGAGATGTTGATTTATGACAAACAATTTGAAAGTTAGTCAGATTTAAACGATCATTACAAAATATTAGCATATTTCCATAAGGGTGTTAAATTTAATCACTAAATTAACGTCAGCCATAGGAGAGGGAGTGGTCATGGTGAAACATCCAATCATTTGGTATCTCTAAAAAAGCCCTGAATGTGCTCTGTACAGGACATCCAGACTTAAAACTGTGGCATGTAAGATCTCAGAGAAATCGCAAAAAAATAATGTCCTCTAGACTAGAGAGGACAAAACTCCATAGCTGGTAGTCAGGAGGATATATATATATATATATATATATATATCCAATATCCAATATAAAGTGATTTTGTATCACACATGTAAATTTATAAAACTTTTACTCACAGTGCATGTACTGCTACATCTACAGGGATGTAAGGAGTAATGATTCATTTGATTTATTTTGAATGATTTGTGTACCATGTCGGGCCTGTTTCTGTGGTTGGTCTGTGTTTAATCTATGTTGCTCTGGCTTCTCCTACTCTCTCCTTGACATGGGTCATGGGGTCCACCAGATTCCAGTTCCAGCTCGTTAAGTGGAGTACAAAGAAACCCAGAGAATTCCAGCCCAAGCAGAGAGACTCAGGTGCTCCTCACTGAGAGACACTAACATCTTTGTGTCCCAGCGTTTGTTGTTCTGTGTATGGTATTTGTTGTTTTGTCAGGTAAAAGCTGTGTAGTGTGTTCCAGCTAATTTATATTTGCCTGAGCTATTGGATCATTCTAAGCTGTGTACTGTGATTCAGACAACACTTGTACCTAAAATTTTATATTACTCTGTTCCTTTTCATCCTATTTCATTTATGATTTAGAATACATTTCCCTATATCAGTTGTAGGGAGCTGGATGCCCTTCTTGTTTTAGAACCAAGTTTTCTCCTGTGTTTAATTAGAGTGAGAGAGTGTCCGGTAATTCCTGGATTTTTTATTGTCATTACTGTGTGTGTGTGTGTGTGTGTGTGTGTATATATATATATGGTTACAGAATTATTTCAGAACTATGGTGTTTTTGTGTTGATTTGCCCGACTACTGTGGCTAAG